CCGCAGTGCGCCTTCTGAAACCGACAGGATCGGGTGGTCGGGTCCCACCCTGTCCCAGCCTCTCCGCGGGGTGCCCAGCGCCGTGAAGGAGCGCAGGCGCGCCCAGAAGTCCACCACTGCCCGGGCGCGGGCCCGCTCCAAGGGGGTTGCTGCGGGTGCTGCTGCCGCCGCGCCTGCCGTTGCTGCTACCGCCCCTGTCGCCGTGTTCCGCTCCTGCGTTTGGTCCTCATCCCCTGGCGCATTCAGTGCAGGCCCCGTCTGCGGTCCCGCCCCGTCGGCCTGGATGAAAAAGTCCGTTATCCGCCTCTGCCTGGGGCCGGGTACCTGCACCTGCTGCGCGTGCTCCCGGTTCTGTGGTCCTTGGCTCCCAGCTCGTTCCTGCCTCCTGCCCGCTGCCCTCAGGCAGCATCTGCCAACCTCCATGGCAGACAGGGCCGACAGGGCGATTATATCCCATACGGCCTGTTCGCATCCGGTTGGGGCCAGTAATAGCCAGAGTTGCTTTCGGGTGACTCCACCTACCGTATGTATGTATGTATGTATGTATGTATGTATGTATGTATGTATGTATGTATGTATGTATGCATCTGTAGTGTGTATGTGTACATGAGGAATCTGGCAATAAATGATCAGGTCATGTCTCTATTCATTTAGGTAGAGCTTCACTGTTTGCTTCCTTGACCATACCACACGCGCTCTTCTAGCTCCTAACAACGTTCCGAAGGCCCTGGCCATTGGCCCCGAAACCACAAAACCCGCACCCACCTACCCGTCCGCATCCCCATGGCCCCCCAATAACAGGTCACGCAGCCGGACGCCTCCACGATGCTCTTCCTCTCCCACACCCTCACCGCCCTTTCCATGAACACGACCACGTTTCGAGTCATTCCTAGCACAATGGAGGATTTAAAATCTGAAGCTGGATCTGAATCCGGAGCCGGGGGAAGTTTATCTGGGCCGCTTACTACGTGCAACATACAGACACGTGGGTTTTACCAGTGCCGTACTGGGTGTGTGTCACATGTGCGGTTTTGAGTGTGTGGTTTCGTAAATGTCAATAATTTCGAAATCCTCCCGTCGGGCAAGATTATTAGCTTTAGGAAGGGTTCATGTAAACAAATGCTGCCTATGTTGGAGGCGTAATCCAGAAGGTTCTACGTCCTTTACAAAAGAAGTACGGAATCAACGACGTGTGCTACTTTCCAACGACTATCTCTAACCGTTCCAACGGTCCCAACCGTCCCAACGTCCCGTTGCAGTCATTACACTCCTAATGGACGCGCCGGGCAATGCAGTGGCGGCGTCAACGGGCCCGTCACCTAGCCCGTCAACAGGTGCCGTACAGAACCACGCTCTTACAGGCGGTATCGCCGCAGGCGGCGCGTTAGGCATCGTCATTGCGTTTGCCGCTGTCGCACTTGTCGTACGGCGATTACGACAACGGCGGCGCCGCCTCACGTGGCATGGCTCATCGCCGTCGCCCAAAGCGGGGGTGCCGCCAGCTGCGGCTCCTGTGCCCTTGGTGGGCATGGAGTTGGACGGCGTCGGGGAAGCGTCGTCTGGGCCTGCAGGCGGTGGCGGCGGCGGCGGCGGCGGCGGCGACGGCTGTAGCGCTTTCAGTATGAGCTTCGCAGCGGCCGACCAGGTGGGCTGTGACAACCTCTTCAGGCGCGTGTTGTGAGGCTGCGGGAGTTATTTTGCGATTTCCTTACGTTTACTTTTTGTCTGTTTACCTTTTCGCTCCGCTGTTTTATTTCGCCGTTTTTTGAATTTCATAATAAATGTAAAAAAACGTCAGTATTCAATATATATGATTTCTGTATTATTTGTAATATATGTATATCACATACATAACATATACATGTATATTATATATAACATGTAGAATATAATATACATAATTCCTGATAATAATTTACTTTCAGAAACGTCTTGTACATCTTTGCTCTGTACTACGGCGGTGCGTAGGTCCCAGGCAAGGCTGCCACCATGCTGGAGTTGTTGTTGGACAGGGGAGCGATGATTGGGCCCATATCACCACCACCACCACCACAACAACTACCACTCCAACAGCAGCAGCAGCTGCAGCCGCACCATCAGGCCCGTCCTACCCCGCATGGGGGGCGTGGGGGGGTGGACGCGATCGAGGGAAGAGGAATAAATGCCCTTCCAGCAGGAGCAGGGGCAGGGCCCCTGCTTCCTGTCGGAGCGGCGGTTGGGCTTCCCGGCATCGTCGGCCGCGGCAAGAACGATGCGAACGCTAACGACTTGAACAACGGTAACGGCAACGATAATGTGATGAACAACAACGACAACAACAACCCGAATCACAATAATAACTCGTCGCGGGGCAGCTCGCTGAGTGCGAATGTGCAGCGGACACTGGCCGGCGCTATCGACGGCATGATCCGGAAATATGAGGCGAGTGGTAGTGGGGGTGGGGGTGGGGGTGGGGGTGGTAGTGGGGGTGGTAGTGGGGGTGGTAGTGGGGGTGGTAGTGGGGGTGGTAGTGGGGGTGGTAGTGGGGGTGGTAGTGGTAGTGGGGGTGGGGGTGGGGGTGGTTAGGTGGTTGGGTGGTCGAGGGAAGGGGGGCTGCCATTGGGCTGGGACCAGGTATCCGTACCTGCAGTTGTGTCCGTACTAGTGTCCGTACTCGTACCTACATCTCAACTTGGCGAGACCATCATTTTCCTGACATCATATGTAAATATCATGCTACGTGTTTTGGATTGCTCGTTGGTGCACTATAAGGAATCGCTGCGTATCAGTCTGTCCGACTGTATGTACGTATGTGTGCATGCATGCAGGCCACCTCCAATCCCCCCAGCAGTCAGCACTCAAGCCAGGGGGGATCCCTCCGTAACAGAGTGCTGGGGAGCGGCGGCTTCGGGGTGGTGTACAAAGGTACGGCAAACATGTACGGCGCTACCTGACAAGAACATCAGCAACGACAAAAACAATGTTCAATAATGTGTAATATGTCATTAGTGACTTATCGCACTGGCTGTGCGCCAGCCGGGCGCCCCATCGGTGTCGTACGTCCCATCGGTGTCTTCCCCCTTCCCCCTCCTGCCGTATACCCCTCCCTCCTCCTGCCGTACACCCCTCCCCCCTCCTCTCCCCCCGCCTCTCCCCCCTCCCCTCTCCTGCCCCATACCCTCCCCCCAGGCGAGTGGCGAGGTCTCCCGGTCGCCATCAAGGTGGTACTGCTCCAGGAAGGGGACTCCGCGGCAAGAAGGGAGCGTCTGGTTCGTGAGGTGGCGCTGTCAGCCACTCTCAGCCACCCCAATGTCGTACCGACGTACCACTACACGTGAGGTCTAGGAGATTGGGTTAGGGGGTGGGGCCTGTACGGGAGGGGTATGGTGGTTGTGGTGGTATGGGATCTGGAACTAGAAGAAATAACAGGGGAAGAACTACT